AACCTGGGAGGTAGAGGTTGCAGTGAGCTGAGATCGCGCCATTGCACCCAGCCTGGGCAACAAAGGCAAAACTCCATCTCAATTTAAAAAAACACAAAATCTGAGACTTGTCCATTTTTGGGCCATTGCCTGAAATCTTGGACAAAGGCCTAACTGACCCAGTTAAAATACCAGTATCTGAGCCCCACTGTTAGGCTGAAGCAAACCGAGGAGGCAATTAATTACGTGTTGCCTAACTTGCTTCTCCCTTGCAGTTTCAATTGTATTAGGCTGCCAGCTTCCCTTCCTCTCCACGGTTTGAATTGTTGCTGTGACGGGCAAAAACTGCGGCTGGTCCACCTCAGAGCTGGCCTCATTTCAATAACAGCCGGGAGGACTGGCATGGGGCTTTCCAAGCTTAATTAGCTCATGTTTGTAAAGTTCCTCAGGAAGCTCAGGCCAGTATGCTATGGGAAGGCCAAGTTACTAGGATTCTCGCCACACTTAAAAGAAGAACATTCCCGCATAAAAAGACTGGTAGAGCCAGAAAAGAGCACCTCAGAGCGTGTGTGTGAATAGCGAAGGGTCCTTGTGAACCATATTTGAGACCATAAAGAAAGAGAGTAACGCATTCCAACTTTCAGGCCCTCCTCCTATTCTCTAGAGCAGGAAATTATGTAAAGTATTTCCTGAACAGCTGAAGCATGTTAGAAACCTGCTAGCATCCTCCACAGTGTCTCCAGGAAATGGACACTGAAGAATTTCTTTGCAACGAGAAACTATTTGAGCTCTACTGGCTGTTTCTACCTGAATGAGTTGGATACTCTCAGCCTGGGAGTGGAGAATACAATCTTCTTAGATCATGTTTATGTCAAACTCAGCATCCTACAGCAAGAACACACTGGAAGAGAATTCCCCTTGTGTATGCACATATATATGAAGAATTGTCATATATATAGTATACATACACATATATTAGTATACATCAAGAGAGACGGAGACAGAATGAAGAACTTTCTTTGTTAGGTAATTTAGCAACGTCAGTAATAGCTTGCTAGTTAGTTATTCCCGCTCGGTCTTCGGGTGGGGCAAGAATGAGGTCAGCCTCTTCTGTTTTAGGCAGAATTCTAGAACATGCAACAAAAGGGAACTGCTTGGCCCCATCCCACCTCTAGAGATTTGTCCTCTCCAAGGCCTGCCTATAAATCTCCCAGGGTGGGGATCCAGGAGCAGGGTGCCCCGGCAAGCCAAGCTTGAACCTCCCAAGCAAATCAGCGTCGGAATGTTGGTGGGGTCACAGGATCAAGAGCCATCTGGGAGCCAGCTGTGACTTGGGCTGATTCCCATGGTTTCCTATGAGAAGGGCGAGTGTGATCACTACAGCCGAAATACCAAAGAAAAATGGCAATTGTTACCTCCGGAGCAAAGAACAAGGCCTAGAGCAGAGCCGGTTCCTACAGAGAATGACAGATCGGAATATGCTGGCGAAGGCCAGGCAAGTTCTGTGCTTCCTAACCAGTTAGAAGCCCTTCCTCCCGCGGCGGCCGAGCTGGGATCCAGAGCTTGGGAGGTGTGGGACCTGCCTCTCTGAGACCTGGCTGTCGGCAGGAGGATGAGGAGCCAAACTCGTCCCATTGTTACCACCCACCCTCTGGGGCTTGCAGGGAAACTGCACTCCTGGCCGAACGAGAAATATAAACCCTTGCCATCTTCTCTTTCCGGGGACAAAGGCACCACAGATTTTTAGTATTTTATCATGCTTTTGGAACGAATGTCAACCAAATGCCATCTTTTAGGGACAGCAACTAAACTGTTCAACTGGAGTTCTTTAGTCAAATGGCAGTTACATTCATTGATCTGATGTCTTAAACTACTTAGGCTCAGGGAGTGACATTAAAAAAAAAAAAAAGCAGCTGAGTGCAGTGGCTCATGCCTATAATCCCAGCACTTTGGGAGGCTGCGGTGGGCAGATCACAAGGTCAGGAGTTCGAGGCCAGCCTGGCCAACATGGTGAAACCCCATCTCTAAAAATACAAAAATTAGCTGGACACAGTGGTGCATGCCTGTAATCCCAGCTATTCAGGAAGCTTAGGCAGGAGAATCACTTCAACCCAGGAGGTGGAGGTTCCAATGAGCTGAGATCACACCATTGCCCTCCAGGCTGGGCAACAAGAGCAAGACTCTGTCGAAAAAAAAGAAAGGCCAGGTGCGGTGGCTCACACCGGTAATCCTAGCACTTTGGGAGGCCTGGGCGGGTGGATTGCCTGAGCTCAGGAATTCGAGACCAGCCTGGGCAACAACAGTGAGACCCCGTCTCTACTAAAATACAAAAAATTAGCTGGGCGTGGCAGCATGTGCCTGTAGTCCCAGCTACACAGGAGGCTGAGGCAGGAGAATTGCTTGAACCTGGGAAGAGGAGGTTGCAGTGAGCCGAGATCACGCCACTGCACTCCAGCCTGGGCTCAAAAAAAAAAAAAAAGAAAAGAAAAGCACATTTACAAATGTGTAGAAAATAGGCTGGGGGCAGTGGCTCACATCTGTAATCCCAGCACTTTGGGAGGCCGAGGTAGGTGGATCACCTGAGGTCAGGAGTTCAAGACCAGCCTGGCCAACCTCGTGAAACTCCGTCTCCTACTAAAAATACAAAAATGAGCTGGGCATGGTGGCGTGCGCCAGTAATCCCAGCTATTCGGGAGGCTGAGGTGGGAGAATTGCTTGAACCTGGGAGATGGAGGTTGCAGTGAGCCAAGACTTCACCACTGCACTCCAGCCTGGGCAACAAAGTGAGACTTCGTCTCAAAAGAAACAAAAAAAAAAAAAAAAAAGAAAAAAGAAAAGAAATGGAAAGGAACTATACCTGAAGCTTGTAATATTTTGAAGTTAGCTCTACCTTTGAGAACCTAATTTTCCCCAGGCTATGATCCCCTTTCTTTGAAAAGCACCCACATGTATTTAACAGTAAACTTTGCATACAGTTTCAGATGTTCAGGAGCCCCGTAACCTATCTTGGATCTCAGGTCACACAGGTTAAGAATTCTTATTCATGCCAAAATATACAATCCAATGGTAGAATTTTAGGTTATTATTTTGATCTTTGTGGTATTCTGTTTTTCAAATTTTCTAAAATTAGTATTATTTCTGTAACTAGGAAAATACATTTTAAAGAGTTACCAGGAAGAAAAGAAGGAAGGAAGGAAGGAAGGAAGGAAGGAAGGAAGGAAGGAAGGAAGGAAGGAAGGAAGGAAATTATTTCTGTAACTAGGAAAATATACTAAAGAGTTACCAGGAAGAAAAAGAATGGTATGTAATGAAGTAATAATATACACAATAATAATACGAAGGAAGGAAGGAAGGAAGGAAGGAAGGAAGGAAGGAAGGAAGGAATGGAGGGAGGGAGGGAGAGAGGGAGAGAGGGAAGAAGGAAGGAAAGAAGGAAGGAGCGGGGGAGGGAGGGAAGAGAGAGGGAGAGAAAAAAGAGAGAAAGAGAAGAAGGAAGGAAGGAGGGAAGGAGGTAAGGGGAAAGGGAGAGAAAGTAAGGAAAATCAATTAGCTTTGTGTTCCCTAAGTTAATCTTTGCTGAGTGGCTGAGATGTTGGTTGAAAGGATGGGCAAGAACAGAGTAGGGTGACAGTCATTGGTCACCTCCAACTTTAGTCTAAGCCAAAGGATTGAAAGAGACCATCTTGGCCGGGCATGGTGTCTCATGCCTGTAATCCCAGCACTTTGGGAGCCCCAGGTGGGCGGATCACCTGAGGTCGGGAGTGTGAGACCAACCTGACCAACATGGTGAAACCCCATCTCTACTAAAAATACAAAATTAGCCAGATGTGGTGGCGCATGCCTGTAATCCCAGCTACTCGGGAGGCTGAGGCAGGAGAATCTCCTGAACCTGGGAGGGGGAGGTTGCAGTGAGCCAAGATCACGCCATTGCACTCCAGCCTGGGTAACGAAAGCGAAACTCCATCTCAAAAAAAAAAAAAAAAGAAAAGAAGACCATCTTATTTATACATGTTTTTCTACATTTCTCCTGTATTTCAACAGTTTTGCTTTTAAAATATGTATTTTTTGCAGCCACAATCAGGAGATGCCTTCTGGGTGTCATACTTTGACCATTAACTTTAATTTTGAATTTATTCAAAGTTTTCTTATTTATCCAATCTTTCCTCATATTCCCTTGTTTTTATGGATAAGCTTCCAATATTTCTGCCTAAACTTGTTCAAGTTCTAAACATGAGTTTCTTCATAGTAGAAAAACAGTCAAGTGTTCGCTCATTTAAGAAACTTCATTAACACTAGTATTAGGGGCCTATCAGGTATTGATACTGACAAGTTTCCACCACCAAGTTGGACTTGGGTGGTTCGGTCCTGTTCTTGTGGCCAGTAAGAAGTTAGGTGAGGAGGCGCTCAATTATTCTGTCCAATAGAATTAAGAGAAAGGGAACCAGTGGGCACAGGAAGACAGCTGGACCTCTCACTGGGATACTGCAAAGGCTAACAGCCATTCTAGGAACTTAGTCACAGTGGGCCCTCCTTGAGCCAGTTCCACTGTTCAGAGAGCTATGCCAAGCCCCTAAAAGACCTTAAAGGTTGACAAAACATTTGACTTTTCAGTAGAATCCTATCATTAAGTATATAAACAATCCAGTATGGTGATCTTATGTTTACTTGTATCTGACTGACAAGGGGAAAAAAAGAGTACTAATAAACTTAGCCTGGACGGTAAAATATATCAAAACAAGGGTCTATGTAAGAACAAACAGAAATCTTTGGTGTTAAAAGGTTGGAGGCAGCCGGGTGCAGTGGCTCATGCCTCTAATCCCAGCCCTTTGGGAAGCTGAGGCAGGATAGCTTGAGGCCAGGAATTTGAGACCAGCCTGGGCAACATAGCAAGACTTTGTTTCTTCAGTTACTACGGCTATTCCCAACAACAAAAAGTTTGGAATAGCTGTAATACTTAACTGGGATATATCTATTATGTAGGAATTAGTATCTATACTTTTCTTTTTTTGTGTGTGTGTGTATGGTTTTCAAGCTTTTCTTTTAGGAAGTTTTATTTATTTTTATTATTTTTATTTTCCCAATGAGCCCTCTGCACTCCTAAGGAAGTTTTATTGGATGAGGACCAACTGATGACATAAAATCGATTCAAAGCTGCAGTGCCCCACTGACTCCATCTCCCTGACCAGGCAATCCCAGGTCCTAAGCAGCTTTGTTTAAAAACCACTGGTCCAGACGGTATCCCTGGTTCCTGCGTATTTCACGAGGTCCCCAGGGCCAGGCATCTTCTACCTAACACATATGGCTGCAAACACTTAGATTCTAATTTTACTCCAAAAGATGCTGTTAAAAGGCTGGCTAGCCTGCGTGGGGGTACAGATGGGGGTTGGAGGCTCACAGCATAAGCTCAGGTCAGGGGGCTGTAGCTGCAGTAGAGCTGGGATAAGGTCCTGCTCAGAGCAGGCCCCAGATTCCTCTGTAGACGCCCACACTTGATGGTGCTTAGCAGTGTCTCTTGTTCCTTGGGGGTGGCACAGGCATCATAGGCGGCCAGGAGGCTGGCAGGGGTGCTGTATCGATCCACCAGGGCTGCTGCTTTCTCCTCACTCACTCCGCGCACCTGCATCAGCTGCCGGGCAAACACTTCTCGCACTGACTGGGCCTTATTTTTGATGGCTCCTGCGTTGAAGTCACTGAAGGTGAGGAGTGAGCAGAGAGGGTTTGGAGAGGGCATGGCCCCTGATTCAGGGTTCCCAGGGGTTCCCCAGGGGCGGCTGCGTAGGGTGTGGCCCTGGTAGAGTCTCTGCAAACCCCGCGTCAAGAGGGCCAGATAGGTAGCTGACTCCTTAATGTCTGCTGTGCGCTTCACAAAAAAGCCATCAATGACCTGAGTGTTAGTGACAGCCTGCAGCAGCGTACTCTCAGGAAGGCTGAGATTGTGGACCGAGCCATGCTCTTCCACCAGGTATACCCGGCGCTCCAGGCCACAGCGCTTCAGGCGGAACTTCTGCTCCCGGAAGCGGCCGTCAATGATGCTGCTGCAAAGGTCATCCAGCCGCTTGCGCTCTACAATGTGGTCCAGTACCAACTCCCCAGGGCTCGCTGGGTCTCTAGGATTGGTTTCCTGTGCCACCCATACAAAATCCCCAACGTGCAGCTTGCGCACTGTGTGGGTCACGTGCAGCCGCTGTAGCTCTCGGAGCAGCTCCGGCCTGTGCCCGCCCCCCCGGGTCTCGCCAATGTCCACACACAACAGCACCCTGTACTCTCCAGGCCTCAGCTCCAGTGGTGGCTGCTGGACGCCTGCTTCGCTGGCAAGCTCTGCTGAAGCTGCTCCTGGCACTGCTGTCTCCTCCCCAGGGGGCTCCTTAGGCCCGATGCCCACATTCAGCAAGCTCAGGCCTTCTGACTCGGCTAACTTCTGGGCCAGCTCCAGGCCCTCTGGGGTCAATGAGTACCTGGCTGGCTGGTGTGTCCTGAGGACCAGGTTCCTGTGGAGGAGAGAGCGGAGGGCTGGCCAGGGTCGAGCACTCCCAGGGGCTACCCTGGGGGCCTTCTGAGCACACCTCTGCAGCAGCTCCTCCTTGGTTAAGAAGTGGTAGCCATTAGGATTCAGGTGCTCTCGGTAAAGCATCAGCAGTATCACTCGGGCTCCTGAGTGCCAAGCTGGCCAGTAGTTGCCAGAGCCTCCCGCTTTGGACTGGGCAGGAACTGGCATGGAAGAGTCCTGGACTTCCGCAGGTCGCCCCTGCGGGGCTGGACTGTTCTCTCCAGATGGCGAGCCCGGGGCATGGTCACCGCCCGATGTTCGGTGCCGCTGCAGCCGCTCGTCCAGCATCCGGCAGAGCCCGTCTCCGAAGTGCTGTAGGATCTTAGCTTCCTTCCCGCTGCACAGAGGCAGTGGGTACCGTCGGAGGGACCGCAGCGCCTTCTGAAACACGAAGCGTGTGCGGCGCCCGCTGCGGGTCGCCTCGTCCCGCCACTCGGTCAGCCAGCGAACGAAGAGCGGATTGGGACAGGCAGGCAGCGGGCGCTTCCGGCCCAGGCGGACCGGGGCCGCCATGAACCCGAGGGCGGGTCCTCCGGCGCCCCACACCCGCGGGACTGGGACGCCGCCAGTTCTGGAGTGGGGATTCGAACCAGTATCTATACTTTTCTTATGCCAGGCACTTAGCTGCCCCACCAAAAGGTCTTTTACTGACATAATAAAGAGGCAGGATTTGAATTCAGACAGATCTGGCTCTTAAATACCAGTCCATTTCACTGCACCATGCTACCTCCCACAACTAGGATGGGAAAAGACATTGACATTGTGAAAAGCCTGGAATGCAAGAACTGATCAGTTTAAGAGGGTTCGATGCATACACCTCCTACAGTGTTATGAAACTGTCCCAAATATTTAGGAGGAACTGGGTGTTTGCAGACACTGGAATTAGCTTTCAAACTATGCCAAAAACATGTCGTTTAACATGCAAGTGCTCAAAATTAAATTGTACTTCTGCCCTCAAAAAACCCTAGTTGATAGCTTGGGTGTTTCTTATCATCTTTATTAGCTGGGGTTATGAAACTTAAATGGGTGATGTTGCTAAAACGCTTTTCTCTAACACTTTCCCATGGGGAGTTAGAGGGAGGCTGCATGATTTGGCCAGGTTTTCATCACAAATTAGGTCAACAGCCCAATCCCAAAAGAAAGCACCATTAATGAAATGACATGTTTCAAGGGCTTTCCAAAATCAGTCCACCGGGTTTTGGCAAGCTCCAGCAAGGGTGGAGAGGGGTAAGGGGCAGCCAGGCCTTAATGGCCTTCTAAACTTGGGTCCTGTATCTGACATGGTTTCCAATGGCTCATATGAACAAAACTGACTTTGCTGTTACTGCTGTTATGCAATTAAAGAAGCCAAATGCTGAAATAAAAATCTTACTTAATGAGGATTTACAATAACAAAAAATTATCCTGAGCTTTTTCTTCAGTGATGATGCAGCCACAGATGAGAGAAAAAAAAATCAACATTAGGAAACAGAATGATTTCCTTTGTTCTAAAAATAATCAAGTAGCTTATTTTTAGCCAAAATGCAATATAGCAATGAATCAATACTTTGTGAAATGTTTAACACTGATATCCAATCTTTTAATGTTACCCTTTTAAGATTATTTCAACAAGCAAAATAAGTGTTAGCAGTTTTTACTGTTAATTGCCAAATAGGTTTAGGAATATTACGTTTCCTCCCTTGCTTACAACAAAAACAAATACAAAAATGAAAGTTATAGGTAAAGATACATTATTTATCAGTGGTTTTTTGTTTTTTTTTTTTTGAGACGGAGGCTCACTACTGTCACCAAGGCTGGAGTGCAGAGGCGCAATCTTGGCTCACTGCCACCTCCTCCTCCCGAGTTCAAGCTATTCTCCTGCCTCAGCCTCCCAAGTAGCTAGGATGACAGGCTCCCGGCACCATGCCTGTAATCCCAGCTAATTTTTTGTATTTTTAGTAGAGACAGGGTTTCGCCTGAGTGACAGAGACTCCATCTCAAAAAGAATAGTGTCTATCAACCTACACTGTACAGGAGGAGCCCTTGGGAATTGCATTTTTTAAAAAGACCAAAGGTGGACCCTCACGCCCCTCATCAACTGAACAGAACTGGGTACTTTCCCAGGTGAGGCCCACGTGCAGCCATGATTGACCTTGGAATCCCATTCAGCCTTGAAGTTTGGGAGGAATGAATTCTGCTTGTAGCTCCAGGAGAGATTTATGATTAAATTTAAGGTGTTTAGCCCATCTCCCTGGCCAAGGAGACTTAAGGAGACACTGGCTGAGGGTTTCTAGAAAATGTTATTCATTCTTCTGTAAAAACTGCAGCCACGACTACTCTGGTTCATCACACCAATTCGGATGGGTTACCTTTCACCAGAGACATTAAAGGCTCCAAATTAGAAAGCCACACACAGGCATGGTGAAGTAAAGGGTGGACTTTAATGTTTATTTACAGGATGCTGCAAGATATGAAATTCCACATAGAAATAAGAAACCTAGTCAGAGGACAAGCTTCATACAGTATGTACAGTTGGAACTGTTCAAGTATAGTTTCAGTGTAAAAAGTGCTACAATAACAAACCACATTTAAAAAGAGTTCTTAGTAGAGAAACAATAAGACAAAATACCAAACATGGTACACAACAAATGTATGCCTCAGCTATGTGATCTAAAAGGTAAAGGTCCCAGGAGCCCCATCCTGAACTTGGAAGGTGTAGCCTTCAGAGGTAGTTTCCGGCACAACGTTTTGATCTTCCTCTTCCTGGAAATGTATTATAAAAAGAATTTAAGTATTTCAAGCAGCAGCCTACCTAGAAGTCTATATTTAATCTCTAGGTCTTGATCTGCATATTATACCTTTAATCCTGTATGATATTCTAGTATTTGACATAGGGGAGGGAGGGTCTCTGAAACTTTGCCAATTCATGAGTGCCTGGGGAGTTGCAGGGACTGGGGATAAGAAATGCTACTACAGTGACAGAAACAGATTTTTTTCTTCCCCAACTGCCACTTTTCAATAGGAAAAGACTGTATTAGGCCCAGAGCATAGTGGTGGGTTTGGCCTCCTTCTCTATCACCTCCTACAATGACACCCACTAACTTACCCTCCAGATATTCTAAGATTCTCAAGGCTGTTCATTTGAAACTAATCTGGTGACACTTAAAATCTCAGTTTAAAAAGATTTTATTACCATCAAGCCAAACTAGAGGGGCAAATAAGTACATTATGTCCTATGCACACTGGTATTTTACTATATTTAACAAAGATATGAGACTTATTTTAAAAAGTATGAGGGGAAAAAAAGGCTCATGGCCTTGACTTTAGATGTTTCCAAGTTGTTACTAATATTACCATCCATTACTCACCTCTACAGAGAAATACTTCTCAATTAAGCTTAACGAAGCCTTATACACAGACTCATTTTCATGGTTTTGTAGAGCTTCAATTTTGTCTAAGCCACCACATTCTTCAATCATTATACTAAGTTTCTCAGTTTCACCTAGTTTTTCAGCAGCCTAAAAAAAAAAAATTCCAAGTTTACTGGTGTATACTCTGAATGTTTTATTTTAATGAACAAAACAACATCGATAATTTGAATATAGATACATGTCAGGCAGAAATAATCACCTAACAGTTCCTTCAACAAACCTATCACTATCACAGTCCATTTTATATTTTGTTGAAATTCAATGTGATTGGATCTGTATCTGCTTTTAGCACTACTTCAACTGGAGCCAAAGATCTTAAAATCAATAGCTCTCAACCTTTTCTATGTATCAAAATCACGTGGGCAACTTTTAAAACATACTACATTCCAGTTCAACTGGTCTGCTATGGGAACAGGGGCTTATTGTTCTGTAAAAAATCCTTTAGCATCACAAGGTGTAGTCAAGGTGTCAAAGGCAAAGATGGCCTATGGAGTGCTAGACTAAATGTCTGACCAGAATGTGTGTTGGTATTAAGGATTTACTGGACATACGGAATGGTATGTAGGTTAGTTTTCCTTTAAATTTTCAACTTTAAAGAGATACATAAATATCTATAGATGAAGTAACAGATTTGCTTCAAAGTAACTTAGGGGATTAGATGAGGTGAAGAAGAAATACTGGCCACATATTGACAAATTATTTATACACAGTGACAAATACACCAGCATCCATTATTGTAGGCTCAACTTTTTTTTTTTTAGACAAGAGTTTTACTCTTGTTGCCCAAGATGGAGTGCAATGACGCAAACTCGGCTCACTGCAACTTCCGCTTCCCGGGTTCAAGCGTTTCTCCTTCCTCAGCCTCCTAAGTAGCTGGAATTACAGGCACCTGCCACCACGCCCGGCTAATTTTTTGTATTTAGTAAAGTCAGGGTTTCACTATGTTGGCCAGGCTGGTCTCAAACTCCTGACCTTGTGATCTGCCCACCTCAGCCTCCCAAAGTGCTGGGATTACTGGTGTGAGCCACTGTGCCCAGCCTGTAGACTCAACTTCTATATGTAAAAATCTCTAGAATCTAAAGTTGATGAGTAGGACTGACCTACCACCAATCACTATGACAAAGTGCCATATGCTGGTATGCTTGGATCAATTAGGGATACAATCAGAAGAAAAATATAAGTTACTCAAATTTTTTTTTTCTGAGACAGTTTCACTCTTGCGGCCAGGCTGGAGTGAAGTGACATGATCTTGGCTCACTGCAACCTCCACCCCCCGCCCAGGGTTCAAGCGATTCTCCTGCCTCAGCCTCCCAAGTAGCTGGGATTATAGGCGCCCGCCACCACACATGGCTAATTTTTGTATTTTTAGCAGAGACGGGGTTTCACCATGTTGGCCAGGCTGGTCTCGGACTCTTGACCTCAGGTGATCCACCTACCTCGGACTCTCAAAGTGCTGTGATTACAGGCATGAGACACCATGACTGGCCAAGTCATTCAAATTTAATTTCACCAAAATTCAGTATGAAATTGGGACATTAAATCAACTAAGTAAACAGATGTGATGAGCCCACATAAACGCCCGACTTCGATTCAGGTCCCATCATCCACTTGTCATCTCTTTCTTCTTTGATAATGCCTGTCACATTTTTAATCAAAGGTGTGGCCCACCTAAACAGGCTTTCTGAATCTGTGGCTTACTAATGAGTAAACTTACAACAGTTGCCCTCCCCCAGGTCTAAATAGTAAACTGATTATTATCAAGTTCAAATTCAAACAAAGCCACCTTGATAGGACTTACCTGAAAGATATTTGAAATGGCATCCAGGATAACCAGAATAATCTTGGTATCTTTTGCAGTTAAGAGGTTCATCAATGGTTCTATTATGCCACAGTGAACAAGGTACACAATCTGCTCAACTGTTCCACCACTAGTGTAGTTGGTCACAGCCCATACAGCTTCCTTTTGTGTCTTAAAATCTGCCTATTAAACATAAGGAAATGGTTTTATTTCAGAAAGTTGCAAGAATAAGTTTCCAAGAGTACTTTTTCACAAAAACAATGACTCAAAGTACCAAGGTTCTATCCAGCTGTAAGTGAAAGGGGTTACTGGGTATTTTTCAGCAAAGGACTCCAAGTAGAACCCAAGATTCTTGCACGTGAAGAAGCTTATCAAGCAGAGCTTTCTATAAATACTAAAAATGACTTGATTAAATCCTAAGACTTCATTACCTTAGAGAGAACACTGACAAGGAATGGGACTAATCCATGATTCACAACTTGCTGTATCTGGTCCTGACGGCCAGCTGTGATGTTTGACATTGTCCATGTAGCTTCCTTCTGAATGTTAGTTTTGGGGTTGGTGAGC